AACAGAATGAACAGCATGCAAATTCCAAACTATTTCAGAGGATAATGACCAGACTTCCGAATAAGAAAACTCAGATATAAAGTTGTGTTCAAGAGTCTGGTCTTCATATAGCTCATTATAATTCTTACTTATATGCATTTATTTATGAAGCTTATTTGTAAAAACAGCTTTGTCCCTTGCCCTGCTCCATGTCCAAAAGTGGTATGATAAACTGGAGTTCTTCAAAGGTAGAACCCCTAGAAAGAATGTCCATAAATTACCAAAGAAGCAAGAGAGGAGAAAAATCTTTGACCTGGACACAGCCTACAGGACAGTGGAATCATGGAAGTGTGCCAAAGCAGCAATGTTAGCTTTAAAAATGCTGTTGAGATGCAGACCAAAAAAACCAACCAAAACTGTGATTATCAGACAGAATCAGTCTATTGACCTGTCTACAAGAAGACTACTACTGTAACAGGAAGGAAAACACTGATTTACCCTCTGGGCAAACTAAACTACAACAAAAGCCACAAGAAGGACAGGAGAAAGACAGGAGAAGGAGCCCTTTGCCAAAGAACACGACACTTGGTTCAGTTTATCACAAGAACTGAACTAGAGTACGACCAACACAGTATACTCTAACAAGCAATAAAGCTATCTGTCCATCACAGGAAAAGGGTGAAAGGAAGTTGAAATGAGACCAGATGTCAGAGAGCGCAATCATTTGTTTACATGTTTGAAGCCTATGGTGCCCCTTGAAACAAAGCTAAGATGCCGTAGCAAAACCCCAGGATCAGCTGAAACCTCTTCCCTTTTTCCCTTACAAGGAAGGTTGGAACTCACATGGACCGGCATGTTGAAATAATCAGACTTGAAGTTATCAGCCATTTCACCAAAGCTCTGGAGAGTATATTCCCTGACAGCTTGTTCAAATCCAAAGGCCTCACGGGGTTTGTTGCATTCCTAGGAGACAGAACACGAAAATATTGTTCCCTGCAGCAGACTATGACACAGTTACATTTTTAGCAAAAAGCCCTGAGTCCTTACCAACCACAACAAGTTACCAGTTTTGAATGCTTTCTCAGCTGAGGGAGTCCTACCACAACGGAAACAGACCAGAATTAATGGCACAGAAGCTAATCTAACACTGGAAACCCCAATGTGACACAGTTCTGCTTTCCTGTCCAAAACTGCATTTCATCATCCACCACTGCCAGCCACAGGGACTGGGCACAAGATGCTTCGGCAGCCATAAGACATTTCTCAGGCACACTGGATTCAAGCACCTGCAGAATAACTGCACAGGAATAAACCCAGTGTTTCAGTCTTATCAAGCCAGCAAATCATCAACAGATTTGGCACTGTGAAAATATATAGGAGGAAAGAAAGAGGAAGAAGAAAATTAAAACAGTGCAACACAGCCAACAGACAAGGTTCATCTGACAGAAAACCTCCAAGTCTTCCACTGTTCTGTCCTCATTCATCCTGAGTGCAAAAAATACTCGTGTGCAATTCAGCTACTCTCTCCACTCATTTCTAGTGTGTCCTTCTCAGCTCCTTTACTCGTTTCTAGTGTGTCCTTCTCAGCTCCTTTGGAACCGACACAATGTTTATACATACAAGACACATTTCAACACAAATAAGATGCAAAACTCTGATAGCTCTTCAGTCAAAGAAACAAGACTCGGGAAAAAAAAAATCAGCAGTAGTTTCTTTTTCTTCCAGAGGAACTACCCTTAGACTATGCTCAACATTTACCAAAGTAGTTCTTAACTGGAACCTGCAGCAGAGAACCTCCAACATCTGTGAACACTGTCAAACAATGCTGACCTGAATACATATAAACAGCTCTTGCCCTATCCTTCCCAGTCTCTGTTCCAGCACCCTGCTATTAACATTACATTAAGCATCTCTACACAATTAACATTTAAAGTACAAACTGAGGCAAAAAGCACTACTGAGCACTTCAAGCATCTTTCTGCAGTTGTTTACTCTCCATTACTAACAGCTATATTTTTTTCCTTCTTTCTCTTACTTTCAATACATTTCCAGAGTTTTTCAAGCATTTTATCTATCACTTGTCAGTAACAACTTACTTGACACCTTAACTTTCCTGATTTGGTACTGACATACATATTTTCCCTTGGTACTGCTGTATCCATGTTTTTACTAGCAGTAGCAAAATTTGAGTTTCCACATTTGAAAACTACTGCAGCCACGATATTTAGTACTGTATTCTCTACATTAACTCCACATTAGATTGTTGTAGTTTCTTAATACTTCTTTAATGCTCTCTCAAGAGAACAATAAAAAATAGCTTAATCCACCATCAGCTGCACTCCAAAGGGTTATTTGCATCTTTTCCTTTGCCTGTAAAATGAATTTCCACCTCTCTCACAACAGCATTTGCCTGAGTTTATCTGACAACCCAATCTCTCAGGTCAGGGTTAGAGAGCAGCGAGCTGACCCACCCCATCACGGGGCTGCACAGCTCTCCATCCACCAGCACAAGAGCACAGCAGAAGGCAGGGGCTGAGAAGGGAACTGGGCACATATACACAGTGCACAGCTGCCCCTTTTGGAGAAAACACTGCCTAAACAGTTAAAGCCAGTCACAAACTCACAGGTTTAGAAACAGTAAGCTTCTTCCCCTGAATCCTACATCTACCAGCTTTCTGAGCTGGTGAAATTTGTTTCCTTAAGACAGATACCAAGCCAATCAAGTGCTGTTTGCTGCCTTTAAGCTGCTGAGCAGTCACCTCTTGGAACTTGGTAGCTCTTTCTCATTCAAAAAAAGAAATTCAACTAGCTCCTGCTTTCAGAGCCTGAAGAGTTGTTTTTGTTTGAACCAAATCTGAAATTGCTACAAAGTTTAAAATGGTTTCTTTCTGCTACAACCTATTCTGAGCAATGCTCTAATTACTTCCAATAATCAAAGCTCCCTGTTTTGCCCAAATTGCATTCTTTGTTACTTCACAGTTTACAAAATGTCTCATCACTGTGCTGAAACACCCATCACAACACTACAGTTCTCCATAATTTACCACTGCCAGCATAAATTGAGTTTCAGCCCTTAGCATACAAAGGGCAAAGCTTTAGCTGTCACATGGCCATATAACAAACAAAGGTTATGCCCAAGCTCTAGAAGGAATGTTTCTCTCTCCTTATGACTCATCATCCAAGAAGATTCATGGCTCATCTTGACAATATTGCAAAACAAACTACATCTTCTACACATATGGATTGGCATTGAGCTGAACTGCTCTTCTGATCTTTCCAGGTACACAGGTATACACAGAAAGCTTGAGTAGTTCTTGAACTATACCTCAGCAACACACTTTGGACACCTCCAGTCACCCTTGGGTACATCAGGTAGAGGAGGAATCAAGCAAAAAGTGTGGTAGCTGTCATCACATCCATCACACAGTAGCAGTTTGTCCTCATTGTTTCCTCTACCACAAAATAAGCAAACGTAGAGATCAACCTGTGGAGAAAAAAAGAAAAAAAAAGTTCCAAAAAGTTCCCCTTCTGGAATATGCCCTCCTTAAACTAAGGAACAAAGGATGTAATCCTGGAGTCTGATGTATGAACATCAACACAGTCTCCTCTGGTGCTTGAGCAGCATTGAAAAGGAATCATTGTGCTTCAGTTTCCCAAAGCAGCAGTAAGCAGGGGACACAGGGACTTTAGGTGCTGCAAAATAGCTATCCAGTTCAGTTGAGTCATTGTTTCCTATCTAACTCAAGTAGCACCTCATTTATGTTACTCTAAGGCAAAAAAGAGCAGGTTACAGTGTTTAGAACTCTGACTCTTTGGGCCTCTGTCACGGCAAATAATTCAAACCAAATCTCTACAAAGAATGCATGGCTGAGGAGAAGCTCAAAGCAATAGTTCAGAAAGATATACATCATCACTTGCAACAGTATAGTGATATCTTTGCAATGAAAAAGAGGAGATAAATTCACAAACCTACAGATTTCAATCTAAAAATCCAAGGGGAAGGGGAGGAAACTGCATATAAAGATACCAACTTCTTTCTCATTTTCTCCAAAGCAAAGGATACAAACTCCAAATGATCCCAATACAATACCAATTTCCACACTTATGTGTTCAAGACAATCTCTCAACAAAAACAACACTAACTGGGAGACATTTTCTGGGACCAAAGAGAAAACAGTATCAACAGGTTCAAAGATTTCCTTGCTGTAACTTCCTGTATTGTCCAAAGGACTTTAATTAAATATAAACATTTAATATAGTACTGAATACCTGTAACAATCTAAATGAAAAATCCTGTCTATTATTTTAGCACAACTAAAAAATTACCTTATGTATAAATGTTTCCTAATAACATGAGCTTCATGAATAACACCTGCTCCAAATTCTGCTACTACTCCTGCCAGTCACTAGCAACTCAGGTACAGCTCAAAGTAACACCACAGACAGTGGGACAGTCTGTTTGGGGACCTGTTAATTTCATCAACATGTCACAAACACATGTGCTTTTCAGCTGCTTAGGTTCAGTTGTGTTAAATATTTGATGTCAACCCAATCTTTAGTTACACCAGCCTAGTTAGGTATGCAACCTCCCAGCTATGCAGTAACATCCTTAAGAAGACTTCTCAGGTTTCTTAAGAAACTCTTTTAAAAAACAGTGCAGCTCTAAGAGACATAGCATTCTGCCCAATTGAAAAAAAACCACACACTCATCCTCATGAAGTATCATGTCTGTGTGAAACACCAAACCAGCAATCTTTAGTTACACCAGCCTAGTTAGGTATGCAACCTCCCAGCTATGCAGTAACATCCTTAAGAAGACTTCTCAGGTTTCTTAAGAAACTCTTTTAAAAAACAGTGCAGCTCTAAGAGACATAGCATTCTGCCCAATTGAAAAAAAACCACACACTCATCCTCATGAAGTATCATGTCTGTGTGAAACACCAAACCAGTTTGCTGCACCCCACACACTCATCCTCATGGAGTGTCATGTCTGTGTGAAACACCAAACCAGCTACTTTTGCTGCAAGTATATAAATGGGAGGGAGAGTGTATTTCTAGGTTCTCTTCCCAAGACCAACAGCACATTAGAATAGCTATCCTAATCATAGAACCATCAGGGCTGGAGAAGACCTCTAAGATCATCAAGTCTGACCACTAACCTGTCACTGCTGTAACCTCTAAACACTGAACCATATCCTCCAGCACCAGATCCAGACACCTCTGAAACTTCCAGGGGTGGGGACTCCACCACCTCCCCAGGCAATATTCCAGTGCCTGAACACCCTCACAGGGAAAACATTTCTCCTAACACCTAATCTGAGGCTGCCCTGGCTCAGCTCAAAGCTATTCCCTGAGTCCTCTCCCTGCAGCCCTGGCAGGAGACCAACCCCTGCCCCTGGGGGGGTGGGACTAGATGATAGTCCCTCTCCTGTCAGGGAGTTGGAGAGAGCCATGAAGTCACCCCTGAGCCTCCTCTCAAGGCTAAACAAACCCAACTCCCTCTGCCCTTCCTCACACCAATGTTTTCTAGACCTTTTATGAGCCCAAGATGATGCTCACTAGCTATCTGTCACCCATAGTACCTCCTTCTGCCCAAATTCTTCGTAACATACGCAATCTCCGTTATCGTAAGTTATGATCTGTCAAACAAAAACTGCACTGACAAAAGTCTTCACAAGGAACAGATCCATGGTTATGCAATAACTACAAACAAGCCTCCAGGCCACGTAACAAAGCAGAGTAAGACTGATGATATACAACTAGATGCATTAAGGGGAGAGAAAAGGGAATAAAAAGGTGTACTTTATCTCACAGTTAGCATTTCACAGAAATAAAAATCAATTTTACAGTTAGCATTTGACAAAAAGATAAATTAATGAGGGTTGAAGCATAAACAAACCTGCACCACAGTAATTGTTGGACAAAAGTCATAAAAGGTTAATGCATCCCCTGTGCATTTCGGACTCCTTTCCTTGAAGATCTCTTATCCTGGACAAAAGTCATAAAAGGTTAACACATCCCCTGTGCATTTTGGACTCCTTTCCTTGAAGATCTCTTATCCAAGGATTAAAAAGAAAGTGTGTAATGAAACTGCACAGATAACTAAAAACATTCTAACTTGGTTGCAGTGGCACAGTGATCTGGATTTTAAATAGCCAACCTTTTGCATTTTCTCCCCCAGGAGGCATTTCCACATAGAAAAGTAACATTACTAGAGTCTTTGGGTTGCCTTGGCTTTCTGTGGCTGAAATTTAAAATAAGTTCTTTTAAGTGTTCTCAGGTTAAGAATAAAAATGAACAGATAAAACTTCAGTGAAGAGTCTAATTCTTTCGACACTAAAAGCATGCAGCTTGATTCATGGCTGCACATACATGCTAAATCATGACACTTTTTAAATGCAGGAATTCATGTGGTCTGAAAGACATTAAGAACAATTGTACACTGCTTTTCCATGGCCAAACATCAGAACACTAAACATGTTATTCTTCCCCTTTGGGGTTTCTCTTGCATAGACTCGTATGGTGACTAATTTAAACTCTAAACAGAGAAGACAGGAAAGGTGGAATTGCTATAATAAACTCCTCAAAATATCTTGCAAGGAAGAGAAGTAGTATTATATTTGTTCTACAAAGGGCAGCTTAAACAGAAAATTAACTGCTGAAGACTGTTAAGCACGTGGCAAGTATGATGAGCAAAAAGCTTCACACTGCAAACGCCTTCCTGTCCAAAAGGCTGAAACAGAAACCTGAACCACAGACCATTATTCAAAATGCTGTTCTCTCTTCCCTAACAGTATCACCTGATGCAATGTGCATTCATTCAGCTATCTGGAAGAGTGGGAGCTGTTCAGGGAAAAAAGCCTGAGTAAATCAACCCATTCCTTACTATCAGAAATCACAGCAGAGGAATCAAACTTACGAAGTTGACAGCAAGAGTCCCTTTGCGTTGCCTCATCTGCATTCCAAACGCTTCCGATCTGCTTCCCTTGCGTCTTCGTGTCACCTCATCTTGAAGCAAAATGAAGTTAAATAAATATTCATATCACATCAAGATAGGCTTAACTTGCAAAATGAACACATATCCAGCCTGGTACCCTGCTTTTCAGGTCAGAAACTACCTGACAGTCCAAAGAAAGCAAAACTATCACGTCATCCCTGGCCAATCTAAAATCAACAAGGATTAGGAAAAGCATTTTGTTTATCCTCATGGGTGATCCCAATTGCCTCAAGAAACAGAGCAAATTACATTCATAATTTGTGCTCTTAGCTGGCAGGATCAGTTTCAGCATTACCCAATCTGGTTCTGCCTTACAACACACAGCTCATGTAACAGCTACGTCATTGTTATTGCTACTATACAATACATAAAGAGCTGAAACTCTGCCAAGTTACATGGAGCAGCCTGTAAATCTTTCTTGTGAATGGAACCCTAGAACACTTAGCTTTCTTTCTCCAGTTTTGATTTGCTTACTTCTTAATGCTTCCTCTAGAGACATTCAGCAAGACTTAACAGACTCACTACTTTACAAAGCAAAGAGCCCAAGATTTAATTACCCTCTTTATCCTTGGCTCCCAATGTCAGTCCCATCATCTTGGGTCCAGCTCCAAAGATCTGCAATTTCTTTAGCTCAGTGTTTCTACTCATTTCTCCTGTCTCTGCCTAAAATCAAAAACAAGACCACATCAGCACAAACCACCAATATTTCCCCTCCAGGTTTCCTCTTAATTTATATTCCACTCTCCCACAACATCTGCTCATCCAAAGAATGGAAACAGAAGCATGGAAGAACATGATTTTTCTGTTTCTAAAGCCAATGGACATATGCAAAAGGAGCAAAAATGAGCATTTTCGTCCCAACTTCCCAAATTATTTCCCATCTAGTACTACAGACCATCCACAGAAAGTCACCTATACAGTAAACAAGAGAGCCAAACTTGACATCTAGCAAAATATAACAAGAATGCCCCAGCAACATTTTCCAGCATGACTGGGATTCAGACAAGTGACTGGATTTTAACACAGTTTCTATAGGATTTTGTTATCTGCTTCCTTGAGTAGAAACATCCACATGACACTAATGGGTTCCAAACAACCTCCTTCAGCTTGGCTGTTCCTGGGTTTATTTGTGATGAAATGTTACGAGTACAACTCCGATCACAGCTACTCATGTTGCAGCCTCAAACTCAGAGGTGAAAAGTCCCATTTGGTGACAGTTCCATGCCCCTGCCACTGTTGCTTCCTGAAGTCTTCTGTTCAACTGAACTTCTTCCTGTTTCCCATTGCTGACCTACCCCATTTTCCTACATCACTGCCACAACTGTAATAAAAAGCCCAACAAAGAAAATACACTGCTTTCACCTGCAACACAATCACCTTGACAGTTTTCTTTATGCTGCCTCCTTACACTTTGAAAACCCTTTTTAAGCTGGTATAGGTCATTAAACACTCACTGTTCAAAGATTTTCCTCCTGAACTTCACTGATCCTAAAAGATCCTATCAAATCTGTCAGTTTTGAAGTATCTAATTTTAATGGGGTTATTCTTCAAGTAACTTCCTGATGATACTTCATCTGTTATTTTTCAAAGTCATGGCCTGATATATCACATATGTCCCTTGGGGTGACATGCCCACAGATTTTACTTAATGAACAAAAAAAAAAAAACACTCTTCCAAAAGAGCGTTTAAGGTAAGTTCAAATACATTTGCAATAAAGATTAAAAGAGAAATATTATTTCCATTTTTTCAACCCAAATCAGCTGCTTTTCTTGCTTCCAGAAGACAAGAGATATCATTTCCTAGGCATGATTACTGTATGAAATATTTAGTAATATTTAGAGTCCCTGCCTCACTGAACGGAGTACGCAGTATGCGAATCAGCATCTTTCCAAACTAATTACTGCTGAGATTCTAATTCTGAACATTCAAATTAAATGCTATTAAATTATTTTCACTTTAGATACATTACCAACTCTGTAAGCTCACTGTGAAACTGCACACTAACTGGAAAATTTCTGCTCATCAATTCCTCACTTTTTGGCCAACAAGCCATAAGGAAACACATGGAGATTTCCTAGTCCCTCATTTACCACTGAAATTCATTACCAACTCATTCATTCTCTCGACTCATAGACCCTGACAGAATCACCTCTCAGCACAGCCACCACCAGCATTTATGAGCAATCTCCACAATTTGCCTCTCCTGCAACTGTGACCTAAGATAGTTTTCTCAATGAGACACAAAAAGTAATTTTCCTATCCTATTTACTAAAAGCAACATTAACAGGCAGCAACCACTCTTCAGTTTTACAGCTCTGCTTAAAAATGCATTACCTAAATATATTTTCATAGCTTTTTGCCCAGATTTACTTGGATTCCACTAAACCTAAGTGGGTGAAATCCATTCATGCTCAGGTGGAAAAAGCCACACAGCTCTGAAAAAGAGCAGTTCATATATTGAAATGGGAATGTTCTTTAAAAATGAGATTCCTACGTAACCTGTCAGTACCCTGGCAGTGTTTGAGGTTAAGGTGTGAATACCAAAAGGCCTCAGGAGAACCACTGAGTACTCTTTCTGCAGTGCCCTTTAAGAGTATGCAAAAAAACCCTACTCAAAACTGTGAGCATACAGAAGTGGCAATGGTGCATTCCTTGCTGTGTTCTCACTACTATCAACACAAAATTCCATCTCACTTTTGCATTATATTTTCTCCATGTAAGTGAAATGAACTTGATTCAACTGATTCCATTCTCATCTCCCCTTTGTCCTGAAGGATACAGACGTAGTTTTGATTCTTTCACCTTCACAACTGAAGGGCTATTTGGGAACACAGGCCAATCCTAGGAAGATGATCCAGCTACCTAGGATTTGCACATTATCTTTCTCTGTTGCCCCACCCTTGTCAACTATAAAACATTTGCATTCCCACTCCTCCAGCCCCAGTGAGCAAGAACTCAATAGTTACAAACAAGAATCAAAATATTTACATGTTTGGGGCATTTGTCAGCATCTCCCACTGCTACTCTCATGGAAGGCAATCTTTCAAATCAAAAAAATAATTGAAACTTATTCTATTATGTCATTCTGCAACTAACCAAACTTGTAAACGAAACCGGAAAGATATACTACTTAGAACTGGGTTTAATTTTGTGAGAAAATTCTCTGGCCATGAATTTAATGACCCCAGAAAAGACAGTACTTTTTGTTCCAGTACTGCATTTCTCCACCAGAAATGACTATGATGTAACCTCATGAGCCAAATCCCCTGTTGATTAAAATACACCCTAACAGATCATCTGTGAAAATATACCAACTACTCTTTTCTAATACAGTATTCTCCTAAATTCAACCCTTCCTAAAGGATATTCTCTTTTCCTAAATGAATTAATTCTACTTTTTGTTGTCCTTTCTTTACAAGCCTTTAGGAACTCAGTTGCCCTTCTCAGATATTTGTGAATTCTTTCTTCAGAGAAAAGAGTAAAGAATGAAATTTATTTTTGAGCGGAATCTCTCATCGTCAAATCATCCTCTTCCTATTCAGAGACAATGTTTACAACTGACATTTGACTGTAGTATCCAAAGATTCCCAAACCATGTTTCACAAAGGAGAATACTCATTTCCTATTTTCTTTCATTTTTCACATTCTCTAATAATCCTAAAATTTGCTTTCTGAAAATCTGCCACCCCCTTCTACTACTGAGGATCTTTGTTTATTTCAGTCATTTCTGATTACCACCTTTATCATAGAACCATCAGGGTTGGAGGAGACCTTTAATATCAAGTCCAACCATTAACCTGTCACTGCTGTAACCCTAAACCCTAAACCATACCCTCCAGTGTCAGACCCAGACACTTCCTAAACACCTCCAGGGGTGGTGACTCCACCACCTCCCTGGGCAATATTCCAGTGCCTGAACACCCTAACAGGGAAAACATTTCTCCTAACATCTCCTCTGACTCTGCCCTGCCTCAGCTCAGGACCATTCCATCTACTCCTGCAGCTATGGCAGGAGAGACCATTCCCCAACCTCACTCCAGCCTGTCAAGGAGTTGCAGAGCCAGGAGGTCACCCCTGAGCCTCTTCACCAGACTAAACAAACCCAACTCCCTCAGCCCTTCCTCGTGTACTCCAGCCCTTTGCTGCCCTTGGCTGGACTCACTCCAGAGCCTCAATGGCCTTTGGGCAGTGAGTGCCCAAAGCTGAGCACAGCACTGAGCTGGGACCTCCCCAGTGCCCAGTGCAGGGGGATGACACTGCCCTAGTGCTGCTGCCACACTGTGCCTGAGCCAGGTCAAGTTGCCCTTGGCCTTCCTGGCCACCTCAGCACACTGTTGGCTCACACTGAGCTGCTGCCACCAGCATTCCCAAGTCCTTTCTGACCAACATCAATTGAACCACTCTTCCCTCAGCTTGGAGCTGCATGGGGCTGTTGTGTCCCAAGGGCAGGACCAGCACTGAGCCTTACTGAATCAGTAAGGCTTATATTTTCTTATTCATTACCCATTTATAGTTAAGTTATCTGCAAGAAGCAGCAGAGGATTTTTGGAAAGTACTTTCAGCACTTGGAAAAGATCTGCTGAGTTGTGGGGCCTGTGGAGTTATCCATGCTCACTACCCAGGCATTAGACTACTTGGCACACTACAGACAGATCATTCAGATGTTTCAGCTAAAGCAGAATGACATTTATGTAGCAGGTTTTTACACTATTTACATATCACCTGTTCTCTGAAGACTACGCAGACAATCCCTGGTACAATTCCAGGTAAGCACTTCAAACAATAAACAGAGTCCTGTCTACAGTGAGGAGGTGCCCTGAAATCTGGAACAATTTCTGCATGTTCTCAGATATCCACCTTCCACCATTTGGGGATGTTCTAGGGATGACTTAAGATAGTTATACATAGCTTGCAACACCGCCAAGAACTACTTCTCCTGGCAAGTAGGTTGAGTTTTTCCTCGTTTCATCCATTTTAATAACTAATGCTTAAGAGACAGCTTGGCTACAAGCCTAATAAAAGGCATTTAAATGTATATATTTACTTTCTGGAGATGATCCAAATAAAATCATGTCTCATTTCCAAAATGCAGACCCTCTAAACAAAATGAAGCAGCTATACAGTGCCAGGATCACCACAGAATCATTTTTCCGCCAAGGAGAAATGACAAGTATCATTATTCTACCGAAATCAGCAGAAAAGGTCCCACAGGATCTTAATACCACAGTGACACTTCTACACCCTTTTCCTGCAATATTTGTTCAAATCCGAAGCAGAATTCACACAGTGAATGACTGCTGCAGTGTTCTCAGTGTTCCTGGATAGCTCACTAACAATACTCTGTTTGAGAGATCTGGTAAAATCACAGCCTGGGACTGCTTGTGTCATGCATTGTTACATGGCTATGATAAATAACATTAAGTCAGCTTCAGAAGGCTGAGAAAACAGATAGAAAAGACAATTCAGGCTAATCAATTGTGACATCAGAGAAAAAGGTGAAAGTTTATAAATGATACACATCTCAGTGACAAGAAAGATGCATTTGGGAAAAAAAAAAAAAAGCAGTTTAAGAGCATTTGAAAGCAACTTTGTGGTGCTTAAACTAAGTGTAGAATGGCATGAAGCAAGTAAGCCAGCCGGTCGCACATCAATCCAGCCAGCAGGGAACCAGCAGGCCTCATGTGAACAGCCCAGGGGGCTGCCTGCCACAGACACCGCTGGAAAAAGGTGGAGGCTGCTTTAAACAGAGCAAGAGAGCCATCAGGACAAGATCCCACAATTGTTTCTAATGAGACAGTGTTTAAAGTGCTGGTGATTCAGTCTGAATTGAGATTTACTGGGAAGTACTCCCAGGATTTAGTATCACCTAATAGAGTACCAGGAGTTCCTAGAACACCAGTAACTCAGAAGGAAACAAAACTGCTTTTCAGGAGAAAAACTGTAGAAATCCTATATAGTTCCAGCCACCACTAATCATCATTCACATACCTGTTGCATTTCTTCAGAAAAGCAGTCTGCCCAGCTTGAGATAGTTCCAAGTGCAATTCCACAATTAACCAAGACTTACCTACACATATTTGCATTTGTGTAACTAAGGGGCATATTTGAAAAAGCTTTAAACAACTTTTAGAACTGTGCACAAGCAGAAGCTTCAACATCATTTCACAAACAGCTTTCTATCTGTTTTGTTTTCACAGATACATTCATTACCAAGGTGCTTAGGCCACCTGCCAATAAACAAAAAGCAGCTTTTAGAAGATTTGACATAAACAATGCATCTACCATACCAAACCAGGTCTCAGACACAACCTTCACCGGATTTTCTTTAAATGAAGACTGCTTCCTGGTGGTGCTTTTGAGCAGGATCCCACAGCCAAAGGCTGTTTCACTAGTGGGAGGAGTAAGTCCTGTGTGTGCAAGAGCCGATTAATAGCGGTACCTGGGATTTGACACGCCTGGTTCTCTTCAGCACGACATTCATCCTTGAGGCCTGCTTCGGGGAAGCCTGGGCATCTGAGCTGAGCTCCTCTGCCTCCACCTTCTCCTTAAGATCCATGTTAGGCTTCTGGATGCCCTAGAGGATCAGAGCACGAGACACCGTGTTGACTGGTCAGGCAGTGCTAACCATAGCGTGGCCTGCGAATCACTGTTTGCTATGAAACCGGAGGAGTGAAATCACACAGTACTGCATACACCAAGTGGACAAGAGGCCAATTAATCTACACACTCTTCAAATAAGGAAACTGAATCTCAACTAACAGCTTATCAAGAGAAGAAGACATTTTCCAATTAATCATATCACCTTTTGCCTTGTGTATCTTCACAACAGGGTTGGCCTCAGTCCTATGAAGAAATGGCTACCAGAAAATAACTACACGAGATCACATTACAACTTCTAGCACTATTCTGTCCCAGGCAAGCACAAGGGGTGGTTCTAGCTTAGTTCTCAAATCTGAAGCTTCTAAAAGCATAGACCCTCTGTCCCAGTTTGGTATGCAGTAACCAGCATTCCACATGCCCTTTGGGTCCCTCCTCACATCGTGCAAGTCTCACCATAAGGCTGACCCCAGACTGGAAGAGCTCGTAGGGGTACAAGATCCGTTCATAGTGAGACTTGAGTAAGGACCCTGTGCCTTTTCCCGGCAGGTAGCCAAGCCGACTTGCCACTTTAGACCATTTCTTCTCTTTAGTGACTACTTCAAAGCCTCCTTTGCTGGCAACAATCTGAAATGCACAAACGAAGAAGTTAAGGGTTCTGAGCTGCTCCCACCAACTTACATCAAACCAAGAGTCACTGAAACCAACCAATGTTAAAAGGTTCTATGAAAAACTGACAGAATCCCGAATGCAGCTTGTGTTTTCTGAAGGACTAGTACTTTAATAACTAAGCACTTCTTTCTCAAAGCATTCAGCATGACAATTTGCATAGTAAATACACATTGCATACTGCCCCAGGCAGGAAGAGTCCAACAGTTAAAATTTATGACATGTTGGTGAAAATACAAACCCCAACCATCAGAACAAACTGAAAAGTTAACTCTCACCAGACTTGTACTCTGACGCAAAACACAAGTCTGGCCAGAAGCTGAGCCCATTCTAACAGACCCCAGGCAGAAGGGAGTGCTGAAGCTGAGAACTTCAGTGTTAGAGAAACTCTCACAAAACCCTGAATGGAAGAGAGATTACCATAAAGAGAGGAAAGACTAAATTTACCTTCCAAGTCACTCAGTTCAGTTTTTACACCTGACTTAAATGGTTTTGAGACCAGTAATTCACATATAGAACTATCACTGCTTACATTTCATTTGTGTATAGAATGAAAAACAACAGCTCATTTGCCTCCAAGCAATGATCATAACAGCATATGAGCTGCTTCCTCAGAAACATTGGCAGCATTTCCACTGCCTCCGTTCCTTGCAGTTTCACTGCCAAGTAGCTTGAAATACAAATGGATCATAATTTCCTTTACATTACTGTAAGACTAATACCATGTCTACAGCAGTGTAGTTTTACATTGCGTTTCTTTACACACAAGGACCAAATTTCATGCTTAATGTTTCAGACTGTCACAAACCTCAACACAAAAACATTTTGTTACTGGAGTGAAATTTCTGCTTTGCTTTTGAGGATGAGGTAAATTCAAAAGTCTAATTGCAAGAGTGCATTAAATCTGTTTATTCTGGTTCCTCCAATACTGAGAGATAATTGCATCATATTGATCAGTCCTTTTCCCTATACTTACAGAAGAGTTCTAAAAGAGCCATTTTAAATTAAACCATTCCTAAATTTCAATTTATCTTCAAAATTTCCATGAAAATTTGATTTCTAGAATTATCTATACATGAACAATGGCTAGAGAAGCCAATAATGAACTAAATGAGCTTAGACCTGCAAATCTGCAGCCAACTAAAAGGTTCCATCTCCCAACAGTGACCCAGATAGTTCCCAGTAGCCTGTGATACTCTGCATATCCCAATAAACCACCACAGACATAAAAAGAAAAAAAGTAACTGAAAGACATTTTATCATTACCTCCAGACTTTCCAAACAATATGACTTCTTTCTTTAGAGATAAAGTCTATTCAGATCTTTACATTCTTACTTACCTAAGGCAAGGAAACCTTGATGGGCAAAGGAAACTGCTGCTCTAAACTAGAAGCACTAGAACTACCACAACTTCAGTCCTTACCCTGCAAGAAGAAATCTGCCTCTTTATATTAACAAGCATCCTTAGCAACTAAGTTCATCATAGTACATCTATTTTGCCAGTGCAAAAGCAAATTCCAACAGAGCTTTAATTTGTGTGCAAACTCTGAAAGACATCACACCAAAAATAAGTGTAGTAGTATAAACGTCTGGTCAGCCTTAAGCCTAGTCTGTTTCAAAAACTAAAACTCTCCCTGAAATGGACATTGTAAGTTCTCAGAGAAGCATGTTTAAATCACATGGAGAACCTCTACTGAGAGAGAGAAGAGAGCAATTACAGCAACAATTCAATACAGAATTGCTAGGTCAGAGCTGAGCTGCACATAAATACACTGCTGCCTTCTCAGAGAACACCCCAAACTCCTGCAGCTGCACCCCTGCAAAAAGGAGAACCAAACTGCAAGTGGCTAGCTGCCATCTGCATGTTCAAGCTGCACAAGGTAATGAAGACATGCTGTGTAAGATCCAGCCAAAGGCAACTGATTAAACCGTGCTTCATATGTCTGCCATGACCATTCAAATTAGAAATCTTCTTTCACTATAATTTTCCCACTCCTTTAATCTTGGCCTAAATGAGACTAATGCTGTAAAACAAGCCCTCCCTGTTGTTTGGCTTCTTGAGCTTGAATGAAAAATGAGGTCCCTGTCTGACCAATTACTGTCCACCATTACTTACCTTGCTCAGACCATAGAGATCCAGTATTTTTCTCTCAACCACAGGGATTTTTAAATTGGATCCTTGGAGTTCCCAAAATTTTGCTAACTGATCCAAGAAGTCCAGCTTCACTCTTGTCATTGCCTGCAATCAATAAAGGCAGACAATCATGTGTGTCCCAATACAAGTGTGACAAAACCAAGACAGAATATGTTAAGTTCCTATAGTGTTTACACTTTCAACACGCAACTGGGCAAGTAAGGCATTTCTTAGTCACGTAAAAACCCCCAGAAATAAAGAAAGTGATAAAAAGACCTTTACAAACAGAAAATTGTATATGCTTTTCTCTCTGCACTTAAGAGCTTATAAACCAAACTCCTACCCAACAATTTCTTGGTTTGAAACTAAAATGCATACTTACAAAAAAATCAGCATTTCAGGGAGAAACACAAGAGCAATTATTAAAATGCACATTGGTGGGGAGGGGGAGACTTAAAAACAGGGTTTATATATGCCTTAACCATGCAGAAGCGCCTCCTGCTTGGAGTATTTCTGGAGTACTCACATCACTTTCCATAAGGAGACCCATTTACAAGCCAAATGATACATGATTTTGGTGTGTGAACAGCACAAGGCTTTGAGAAATGTTGTGGAGAAAAGGAAAAACCAGGACAGAGTGGAACCCATAATGGAACTCATACTGCTTTCAAGAAAGCTCAAATAAATTTTTTGAACCAGAACATTAACCAACTCTAATAAGCTTATTAAAAAAATCACTTCATTTTAAGGCTTAAAAGGCATTATGGAGACAGTATAAGGTATCCAGAGAAATAAATATTTCAAGAGGAAAAACAGTCACTGCCTGTGGATCTCTGAAGGCTAGACACTGGCTGCTCTTACTACACACATGGTATTTAGAATTCATCTTAACATTTCCAGTTGAATATGAAAAACTTGTGGTTATTTTGGGTTAAAATAAAATAAAAAACAGACTTTTCTCAAAGCCATGGAGAGCTGTTTTATATGAGTTCTGCCACTGCCAAGTATAAACACTGATGTGGTCTAAGGGTTTGTAAAGTAACCCCTATCCAGAGACCTGCCAAGATGCAGATCCCAAGCAGGGAGACCTGCTGTTCTCAGTACAGACACAGACTCTCTGAGGAATAGCAGAGCTCACCTCCAGTTCGTTCAGGCGCTGGATCCGCGGGGTGAAGCGAAAGCTCTGCACTTCGCATGCAAACGGAGGCTGCCAGTCCTGCATGGGGACAGAGACACTGCAGTGCTGCACCACACAGGCATGAAACCAGCAGGCCCTGAGATGGCTGAGCAAACAAGCTTCCAACTGCACGTGAGCTTCCCAGTACAACTGGTGATATCACTCTCCAGTTTTAAGACATTCCTGTGCTTATACAATAATGTTCCTCCCACAGTATTTTAGCTCAAAGAAAGATGCTCACAGAATTAAAAATGCAAAAGAAAACAAGGTTCAAAGCATTTCAGTGTGCACTCCCTCATGCCAAGTCTCAATCTGAGGGGGGACCCTGCAGCTCACTGGTTCACTTTCAAAAAGCTCCATGTATGCTGCACACTGACAAGTTCTCAGTGCCTACAGCCACCACAGAGCACACTGTAACACACCTAACGTGCTCATGTTTGTCTGCAGGCACTGCAGTAAAGACAAGACCCACAGTCAGGAGCCCTATTCTGTAACAGAAGTGCAGCCTAAAACAATGACCTTCTCAACACCAGCAGTATCCAGTGCACCCACTACTGCCTCCCAGCCCCACCTCCCACAGCTCTGTTAGGACACCCAGACGAGTAATTCAACTTTTCAGGACTCTTTCATAAAAGTTTCAGTCACAGCAGGTCGAATACTTAGTAGCAAACACAAGGAGTAAGGACACCCAGTGCAGGTGGACAAGCCACAGTAAGTGTTTATTATTTTTCCTGCTGCAGCACATAAAGCCTCGAGCACAACTGTAAAACATTTACAACTTCTAATTGTGGAAAGGAGCAATAAATCAGTGAGGTTAGCATGAAGTGTATGATGTAGTCCTCACCGCAGGCTGCAAACCACCGAGTGTG